CTTCTCTCTCTCCTCTCTTTCTCCCCAGCGGCTACCTCAGCACAAAGGGACAAAGGTATGTGCTGGAGCCCCTGAAGGGTTCGGACGGGGATGAGCACGCACTGTACCGGTACGAGGAGATGAGGCTCCCCCTCAAGACGTGCGGGGTGGTCAACACTTCAGAGGACAGCTCAGAGCCGAGAGTGGAAGAGACCTTCAGCTCCCCTCGTGAGGTACTCGTATCAAGTTAACTCTTTGCCTGCGACTGCATTGTGTGTGAACACAAAAGGAGAACGGGGACAAAGAAAGACATCTTTTGAATTTTTACCCTTGTACATGGCATGGGCATCTCTGGCTGCGCCCAGCATTTATTGACCATCCCTAGCTGTCCCTTGAGGAGGTGGTGGTGGGCTCCCTTCTTGAGCTGCTAAGTAGACCCACAATGCCCTGAGGGAGGGAATTCCAGGATTTTGACCCAGTGACAGTGAAGGAACAGCGATACATTTCCAAGTCAGGGTGATGAGAAGCTTGGAGGGGAGTTTGCAGGGGGTGGTGTTCCCATATATCTGCTGCCCTTGTCCTTCTGGATGGAAGTGGTAGTAGGTTTGGAAGGTGCTGTCTGAGGATCTTTGGCGATTTTCTGCAGTGCATTCTATAAATTGTACACTTTGCTGCTGCTGAGCATCAGCGGCAGAGGGAATGGATATTTGTGGATGTGGTGCCAATCAAGTGGGCTGCTTTGTCCTGAATGGTACCAACCTTTTTGTTGGAACTGCACCCATCCAGGGCAAGTGGGGAGTATTCCATCCCACTCCTGACTTGTGCCTTGTAGATGCTGGACAGGCTTTGGGGAGTCAGGAGGTACGTACCTCATCACAGAATAACACACCTCCTGTTTGCCCAGAACCTATCCACTATGCACTTGCAGCGTGTTGTATCACCCCAAGATGCCAGGAAAGGTTTTTTTGAAGTGCAATGATCGTCATTGTCTGGGATGACCAATTTACGAACAGCAAACTTCCACAAAAGCCAGTGAGATCATTATTAAATTGGTTGAAGGATAAATGTTGGCAATGACACCCCATTGTGCTTCAAAGCAGTGACGGGAGGATATTTTCAATGGAACTAAAGACTTCGATTCGATGACTAACCTGAAAGCAGGCAGTACGCTGCTCTCTTGGTGCTGTGCTGGAACCTGTGTTTGTGCTTGGGTTCCCACAGTGTGTTTGGGTCCAGCTTTGCAGAGTGTAAGAGCTCAGAGTGGGAGAGGGGTGAATGTTTCATTCAGAGGATGAACTGTGTAGGCAGCTCAATGCCTGACACTGTTTCACAGAGAGAACTGACCGGCCCTCCATTCAGCAAACTGGAACAATGGGGCGGTGAGCAACCAGTCATCTCATCATCGCCCAGTGTTTTAATCACCTAAACACAGCCTCAACTCAACATTATCCACAACCATAACCGGATAACACAGCCAAATAAACCTGTTCATCAGATTCCAGTCCCTCCCAATGACCTCTTATTGTACATGTAAACCAGCTGAATCCCTCAATTAGATTCCAGTCTGTAACTACTCCTGGGTATCTGTTTTCTATGTATAAACCATCTGAACCCATCGATTAGATTCCAAACTGTAACTCATTCCTGGGTAACTGTTATTCTATATATAAACCACCCCAAACCCCTCGATTAGATTCCAGTCTGTAACTCCCTCCCAGGTATCTGTTATTCTTCATATAAACCATCTGAACTTTTCGATTAAATTCCAGACTGTCACTGATGCAACTATCATACAAGCAACTTTTTGAGTTTGTGTTCTGAACTCTGGCCTCAATTTGTTTGTTTCCAGGTATGATTGCTGCATAAGATAAAGGTGCAGGGTGTTCTGAGCAATGTATTAGCACAGGTAGAGGATTGGTTAGCTCACAGGAAGGAAAGATGGGGATAAATGAGTGTTTTTTCTGGTTGGCGATCAGTGACGAGTGTTGTGCTTCAGGGATCAGTGCTGGGACCGCAATTGTTTACAACTTGAATCGATGGTTTGGCGTTGGGCACCACAGGCAGTGTGTCAAAGTTTGCGAACGACACTAAAATGAGTGGTAGAGCCAAGTGTGCAGACAACTCTGAAAGTTTGCAGAGGGATATCGATAGTTTAAGTGAGTGGGCAAAGGTCTGGCAGAAGGAGTACAATGTTGATAAATGTGGTTTTGGTAGGAATAACAGGAAAAAGGACTATTATTTGAACTGTAAAAAAATTGCAGTATGCTGCTGTGCAGAGGGACCTGTGTGTTGCAGGTAAACATACAGGTGCCCCCAGGCAGTAAAAAAGTCAAATGGTCTGTTGGCCTTCATTGCGAGAGGTTTCGAGGACATGAGCAGGGATGTGATGTTGCAGTTATACAGGGCCTTGGTGAGACCACACCTGGAATAGTGTGTGCAGTTTTGATCTCCTTTTCTGAGGAAGGATGCTCTTGCTCTCGAGGGAGTGCAGTGAAGGTTTACCAGGCTGATTCCGGGGATGGCGGGTCTGACGTATGAGGAGAGATTGACTAGGTTGGGATTGTTTTCGCTAGAGTTCAGACGAATCGGGGGGGGGATCTAATACAGACTTAT